TTTAAAGCAGCAGTTAATTTTAGAATTTGAACAAAACAAAATAAAAATGACATTGCCTGCCGATGATCAGCAGCTAATTTCTTTGGTTGTTTCTAGCTGAGACCTTCAGTTATAAAATCAAATCTCATTACGACAAGCTCTAATTACTCAATTATTGTGGTTGTGTCTTTCACCTTTACTATCTCACTGCAGGCTGTTGAAATAAAATGTTACTGTTCAGTTTTTTTTAGTTTGGTTAATATGCAGAGATCACATCTATGATATTTTCCAGCATGACACGTATCTTATGAGAAGCAAACAACTTCATACAGCATCATAAATGGTGCTAACACTTATTAAATCACATGCTGGAAGAATTGCCAATCTGTTTATTTTATGGCTCATTAGTATAAATTAAAGGGAAGGAATGAGCTGTGAGAAATCTGATTTACTCTGAATTGCTATCACAGAGGGCTACCAGTAACCAACATTGAACAGCAGTTATTAGTTTTTCAGTACTGTATTAAACAACTGAGAGTGTGATTCACTCACTATTAACATTACATTCTTTGGCATCCACCCAATGGATCTTTCAACAAATTTTACCCTATTCCAAACAATTTACTCCTTTCAAAAGTGCCAAAGTCAGTATTCAAAGTCTGAAATCTAATGATTTCATTTTGAATGTTGCTTTCCACTGCACCATTGTACAATATTCCCAGTTCATTAAATCTACGATACTATCTTCCCCTATTACAGTATATTGCTACCAAATATAAAGAGATATTCAGCAGTTTCAAATTAAACTACTAACAATGGCTCCAGCAGTGATTTAAAAAGGTTGACATTACTTTAATATTGATGTATATAATAAAAATAATAATCCTCGTCTTTGAAATGTCTCAAAGTGCTTCACAGAATATACAGTGAATATACAGAGTAAAATGAATTGACTGTACATTTTGTGGGAGAAATGCGGCAGCCAATTGCATACAGCAGTGTCCCACAAACAGTCATGGATTGAGTGACCAAATTATTTTTTTTTTTTGGAGGGATTATTACCCCCGGAAAAGTGATCCGTCAATTGACTAATAACCAGGTTCCTACTTACTGCTAGGTGAACAGAGGCGTATGCAGTAAGGGAACTTGCCCAACGTTTCCTCCTGCCGGGAATCACCGAAATGTCTCAAAGCTCTTCACAGGCTATAGTGTAAAGTGTATTGACTGTATTTTGTGGGTGAAATGTGGCAGTCATTTGCATACAGTACTTAACAAAGCCATTCCCACACGCACACTGAATACTAAGCTTCCCTCTTTGGCCTTTGAACTCCAGGAAATAATCCTTTCCACCCACTTTCGTGCCTGTATACTTTTTCTGGTTACCTCATCTTTTCTTAATTATATTTTTCAAACATTTGACTACACTTTATCAATAATGGTTGTGCAGCGCTCCTCTGATGGCTCGGCTGGTGGAGCCACTGTCAGCTGTCAAATTGGACTAAACATACCCAGAAATAAAACTGGTCATTCACTTCATGGCGGTTTGTGGGACATTTTGGCATGCAAATAGACAGCCACGTTTGCCTATAATTAAACAGTCGCTACATTTTACATTATACACTAGCTGTACCCATTGCTACGTTTGCAACCAATGTAGAATGGAATGTAGATATCAGTATTATTATACTTCATATTATATTATTATATTTTATATTAGATTATTATATTTTATATTCTTTCACCTCCACCACTTTGCCCACCTCTGACTGAACCTTATCCCAAATGGAGCCAAAACCCTTCTGCATGCATTTGTCACCTCCTGCCTGGATTACTCAAATGCACGTCTCGTCGGACTCCCCAGCTCCACTATTCAAGAAACCCAGAACTCTGTTACCCGCATACTGACCCGGACCAAACTCCGTACCCACATCTCACCAGTTCTGGCCAGGCTCCACTGGCTCCCCATCACCGAACGGATCGACTTCAAGATCCTCACACTCGTTCTCAAATCCCTTCACTCTCTGGCACCTCCCTACCTCTCCGACCTCCTCCCTCCGCAATCCACCTCCTGGACCCTTGGCTCGATTGACACCGGCCTACTGCTTGTCTCTCACACCCTCCGCCCCACCATCGGAGGTCACAATTTCAGGCACTACACCCCGAAACTTTGGAACACTCTCACTCAGTCCCTCCGCCTTGCCCCCTCTATTCCCTTTTTCAAGTCCTGCTTGAGAACCTTCCTCTTCGAGCGTACTTACGACCACCTCCCCCAAACTACAAGTGCAACTTGTCGTTGTTGTATATTTTATATTATCTTATTATACTACCAATTATATTATTACGCTTTATTATACTTTCTATTGTATCATTATACTTTATAATATTATATTTTATATTATATTATTATACTAATGAAACGACAATGTCTGTGTATTTGGGTGTATCAACCAAGATTTCAATAACCGATTGAAGTAGAGACATGATTTATACCACACCCGAAAAAAAATATGCCCATGACACTCGCGAATGCAAGACCTATACGATGAAGTATAAACAGTGTCTCTACGCCAACCGGTTATTTGGATTTTGGCTGATACACACACGCACACGCACTGGTGTCTTTCTGAAACCAGACCTTCAGAAAGAGAGGGAAGAAAACTGGGGAAAAAGTAAACTTAAAGTTACACTCAATAGAAGACAAATTAATTGTGGAGAAAAATCACAAACAGCAAAACTTTTGTCTTCAAAATACATAGTAATTACACATTTTAGTAAATCCTGTAAAGACTTTTGAGATGTCCTGACATGAAAGGTTGCATCAAATGCAAGGATTACTTCTATTAATTTATGAAATGTTTGTACTTGTTTTAAAAGGAAATAATCACCTGAAATGAGAAATAGCAGCGGAGTATCTTCAACATCACACTTCACTACACTAACAAAATTAATAATAGTGGATTAAGAAAAAAGCTCACAATATTTTTAATTTAATAATCTTGAATCTGCTATTAGACTGCTCTAAGCCCTTGCTGAAATTCGTTGACATCAGTCTGATGAGAGAGGACTTGTTTCTATCCTTTAGATAATATGTGCTGAGATACTTTTGTTTCTTAATATTTACATAATTCATTATTTTTTACATTTTATTCATAAAAATTGACCACAATCATGCATGAAACCGACAAAGTTATGGATGCATTCATGTTACCATATTAGGTGCATAATCTCTAAACAATAGAAAAAAAGCAGATTTTGTGGTCATAGGATATTATTAACTTAAATTAATAATCATTATTAACTTAAGTTAATAACAAGTTACTAATAATTGGAACGGTACAACTTGCCTAAGTTTTGGAATTGAATTGCTCGCCAAGATGCAGGGAAGGTCACAACAATCACCAGGAACCTTGTTTCTTTCTTTTCTTTTGGAAAAAGAGACAGGATGGAACAAACCAAAGCAAAGAAAAAAATCAATAGTCTTTGGCAACTGAAACACACAGAACACACCAGTTGCGTCAAATAAAACATTTCCTTTAATGGTAAGATTTTTAAATAACTTTCCAGCTATTAATCTCCAATTAATAATATCATAGTCTTTTTTTTTTGCAAATTCATAGATACTGAATATAACTCACAGAAGGCGAAGTGTCATTCTGGACCTATTGTCCAACGTTAAATGGACCTATTGTCAGTGTCATTGAAAAGAGCTCTAAATGATGCAAATGCACAATTCTAGACGAATACATCCCTTCCAGGACATGGAATAAAGTGATCCCAGTTTATGACACCCAACAAAACTTCCTCTTGCAGGATTTAACTCGGGATTTGGACTGCATCTGACTGACTACAAGTTGCTATGGTTCCATGTCCATATACAGCTCAGCAAACAGATGGTCACCGTTGGGTTGTTCAGCGAGTTCCCCCAAAAAAAACTAAGGTAGATTTCGCCCATCGCCAATGAACACCTCCAACCATTTGCGTCCAAGCCATTCACCGGCGTCATCACAGCCGTGTCACGTTAGATGTGAGTGGGTCTCTCCATACTGGAGGCAAAGTCCCACACACCATCCCGACAGCCAGGCAAAGGGGACCAGTTTGCAGATCCCAGTCTCCAACATCATCCACACCTTTATCTCTCTCTCTCTCTCTCACACACACACACACACACGGTTGCACCATTGAGCAGCAGCCCAACTTACACAGCCCATACCAGCATCGAGAGCAACTATAATTCTCATTTCCCCCCCCCTCCCCCCCAAAAAATCCTAAACCCAGCAGGTGAGAGAGACTGCATCATCCATCATTCCTGCTCCCACCCCATTCATTCGTTGCTGTAACTGGAGCTTTTCCGAGTGTGACATTTTGCGTCTGCGATTAATCTTGCAATTGTAGGTAATATATTATGATTGCATACAGCTTTTAATATAAGTGTACGTGATGCAGACGTGATTTAATGTAATATAAATGTAGCGTTGCGTGATATAAAGTAATTTATGTAATTGAATGTGATATAACTGTAATTTTTATGTCATTTAATGTAAGATAACCGTAATTGTCTGCGATATAAATGTCATTTTATGCAATATATGTCAATGCAATCCTCTTTGCTCGTGTTTCACAATCTTTTTGTCTGGTATTTTCGATGTGCTCGCCAGGTGTGTTACAATGCAATACCTCGAGATCGCTGTGTGTGTGTGTGTGTGTGTGTGTGTTTCTCCCTTTACTTTAGTTTCATCGCAAACGCACTCACCTGCACGGATTTTGTTGGGGTTTGATCCGCGGGTTTCATTTTTTTCCCCCTCCCTCCCTCCCTCCCACTTTTTGCATCCCCTTCTGCCCGTCCTTGCTTTGCAGAATCTGTGGTTGTGAAGCATTTTATTTAAATGCAACCATGGACGCCCCGGCAGTGATTTCAAGGGAAGACTTGAGCCCCGAGTGTACGCTGCTTCCCTCTGACAAATGCAGCCCCGGCGTTACTCTCAACAGCAGCGTCGCTTCCAACACGAACGACTGGGAAAACAGCACAGAGTTCCCGGACCTGCAGAGGAACTGCACCGCAGTGCCCCTCATCCCCATCATCATCACCGCTGTGTACTCCGTGGTCTTCGTGGTGGGTTCGGTGGGTAACTGTCTGGTTATGTACGTGATCGTCAGGTAAGAGCTCACAACGGTGTGTGTGTGTGTGTGTGTGTGTGTGTCTGCGCTGCTCCGGGTCCTCACTGATGCCCCCCCCCACCCTCCCACCCCTCCACCGACACGGATGCATTGCAAGATCGGCTGCTTTATCGATTAGATCGGACCCAAATCGATCAGTTGAGTCCCACTCTGGATGTCATTCACACAGCGAAGTCTGACCCGCGAACGCTGCATCGCACAGACCCCCAGTGATCCCCCCCCTCCCACCCCCCCCCCCCCCCCCCCCCCCCCCCGGATTGAGATGCAATCCGGATCAGACTTCCCACATCGGTGCAATCAACCGAACCTGCAAATCCGAGATACAACACGAGGTTCTCCCTGAAAAAAAATAACTGTGTAAAAGTTCAGAGAGAGCAGGAGGTGGTGGGGGGGAGTCTCAGAGGCACAGCGCCACCGCAATGGGAACACTTCATAAACCATCGACTGGGAGAAGGGGGACAGGAATGCGCATCTCTCTCCCTCTCTCTCTCTCTCTCTCTGTGTACATTGTATTACCGCAAAGTTCATCTGTTTGAAGTGCTATTGCAAACGCAATTCGCAGTCTCCGTTGTGTCTATCGAAGAGGCAGGAGTTTAAGCTGCTCGTCAGCACCGTAGGCGTGGGAGGAGATTTGAGATGGAGATGACTTACTCACACTGTCGGCTGAGATGTAATGCAATTGCGACTGAGATGTGCTGTCCAGCCTCACGCATTGGGCACTGCATTAGATGCAAAACATAACCCTTGGTTGTGGGGAAAGTGGTCCGCTGGTGCCCAAACCCACCAAAGTAGAAGCTACTACCAGCTTTTGCTCCATCCCAGAGACAGTCATGTGCACTTTTCTGATGCTTCTTAACGTTTCCACCCCTCTCCTTCACTATCGCAGTGGTTTGCTCACCAATTCAGTCCCAGTGCTCCGGCTGCTGCATGGCTGAGCTGCAATGGGTCAGCAGTTAGTTGCATGCTCTTTTTTTGTTAAAAAAAACAATTAATATTTATATATGTACTGATCCCTAGTGACATTCGCCATTGTGTTATTCAGTCCTGATGCTTTCATGTGATCTCAACCATGTCAGCAGAAGGAGGAGAGTTGCCTCAAATGTGTGGCTTTAATAGAAGAACTTGGTAGGTTCATTTTGCCAGTTGTTCATATCTCTGCCTTATATCAGGTAAGCAAGCTATAATGTCTCCCCTCTTCTCATTATGCACTAGGCACAGTCAGTTGTGGGCTTCAGCAAAGGGGGATTGGATGGTGTGACAATAAAATCACAGACAATTTGATAGACAGCAGATTGGAGTGGATGACCTACTCCAGAAAAGGGCTGACCTCAAAATAAAATCATGAATATTCAATGAATAAACACAGAAATCAGATCCAATGTGACTTCAAATTGTCAGTGCAGCTTTTGACTCGGAATTGATTCGGGGAGAGAAAAAAAGTCTCAAGAATTATGTTTGATAATTGAAAGGCGCGATACAAATGTAATCTTGTTATTGATGACAGATGTGGATTCACGATTGTGACTACCAAAGAAGGTCTGAAGGTCTTCTTCTCACAGAAGGTTGTCAGGATATGGAATAATTTGCCAGGAGTGGCTGTGAGAGCAGAATCCATTAGGGGGCATTTAAAATAGAACTAGATAAGTACAGGCAGCTAAAGGGGTTCAGAGGGTATGGGGAAAGAGCCGGGAATTTGGAGTTGGGCAGATGGCTTCTTGAAGGAAGCATACACTGACACTAAATAATCAGTTGAATGGCCCCTCCTGTATTGCACATTTCTATAGTTTTATGGTTTGATTCTAAGCTCTGCTTGTAACGTGAAATGAATAATATTTCCGAAGCAGCCTCAATTAATTTCCGAGAAACAGTTTACCTGCCCCGACAATAAGTTTTTTAAGTAGATTATGAAACATCTGAAATAATGATAGAAAATAATAATGGTTTCATGGTGAGATATAAAGCAGGTGGAGCTTGAGAACATTCATTTTTAAAATGCAGTGTTGCTAAATATAATTTCAATAGAAGCTTGTTCTTTTAATTTATGGACGTCTATTTAATTTGCTTTGTTATTGTTAACCGTTTATTCCTGTTTTCACAATCCAAATGAAGCACAATACAAATGTTCCTCTTTACAATTTTTAGATGGATGTCATTATTATTAAAATTATTTTAAAAAAGCACCCTTGTTTAAGGCTATGCAGTTTAGATCATATTCTGGTTATCAGGTTTCCATGTAAAGAACTGGAGATTATTTTCCACAAGTCCTGGAGTTACAACATCACAATTAATTCACAATTGAACATAATAATTGACAATTGAAACAAATGCATTCACAGCCTATGTCTGCATTTGGAGCAACCTTGTTTGCACACACATGTAATATTGAAACTGTACAAAGTAATAGCATATAACGAAGCAGCGATATCAAGGTTGAAGCTGAACCTAACTTCTAGTTTAAATGCCAGTCATTAAGTGCTTCAGATTTATTCCGTGGTGACATATTTGAACTCCTCAATTACATTATGCTGCTACCTTGTTATTATTCCAGGGTAAGCATTATTTACTACATTATCTTGCTAGATGCACAAGCAAGCATTCTATTAACATTGGCATGCTCTTGATGTGCTTATCTCTCACTTTCTTGTTTCCTTCCCGACTCCACTGGCTCCCCATCCCCCAGAGGATCGAGTTCAAGATCCTCGTCCTCACCTTTAAGGCCATCCATGGCCTTGACCCTCCTACCTCTCTGACCTGCTGACTCCCTACCAACCTGCCCGCTCCCTCCGTTCAGCGGCTCCGGTCTGCTCCATGTCTCCCACCCGACCAGCTCTACGATCGGTGGCCGGGCTTTCAGCCTTTCTGCCCCCACACTCTGGAACTCCATCCCATGGTCCCTTCACCCGCTTCCTCCCTTGCTATTTATCCAAAATGTCTTTAATGTGCATGTCACAGCATCAGAAAGCTATCTAATAAATGAATCAATCTAGCCCTCAATCATTCCTGACAGATAAATATATTCACGAATATAAATGAAACATTGAACTCTCCTTATTAATATGTAATGGGAAAGAACAGAATCATAGTCTTTTCCTCTTGATTAATTTTGTAACTAGGTGCACAATAGTCTTAAACGTGAAAATATTTGTTTTGTGTCAAAAGGACTTCTGCACATAAGTTTGTCAACAGATAAGCACTGTAAGCAAAATTATTTTACAAATTCTCTCCTGTATTACAATATTCCCAAAAGCTTAGGGGCATTTGAAAATCTTCTTTGCAGTTATCAAAGCAGCTTGGGAATTCTAAATACTCTACAGTGACTTTACAGTATACCCTTCATCAAGATGTCTCAAAGCTCTTCACAGGGTATACTGTAAAGTGGATTAACTGTGCAATTGTGGTCAAACTTGAATTGAGAAGTAATAGGAGCTAGACATATTGTACATCAGCCAAAATAAAGATGAACTGTTTTATCATACTGTTCAATTTTAACATTTCTGATCATATAACATTTGATGTTTCAAAAATCACCTTGTTAAATTTCAGTTGTGTATTTGTGAGTTTCAGTAGTGTCTCATTAAATTTTCCCACAAGGGTCCAGAACATGAAAGGCAACAAAATAAGACGATTGAAGGGAACATAGCTTTATCCATGATTGCTTAATCATTTCCAATGTTCCTGGAATTATTTATTTATTTACAGCCTCCGAAACCCAATGAATGATTCACAACTAAATTGAAATTCATGCTTCAAAACACAAGAAGTAGAGATACTAGTGATAATGCATCATGCAGTGGTTTTCTAGTTAAAATAAAACCAACTGACATAAATAAAGTCCAATTTTGCCTCTTATAGATTGCATTTATCAAAGAAATGTGCTGCTTCTTGAATTTCTACTCACTGCTTTTTTTATTATCATTATTATATAAATAATTTTTTGTAGAGCAATGGAAAAATAATAATAATCCTTCCATTTGATATAGTGCCTTGTCACTTTTTCAAGATGTCTCAAAGCGCTTCACAGAATATACTTTAAAGTGAATTGACTGTGTATTTTGTGGGCGAAACTTGGCAGCCAATTGCACACAGCAGTGTCCCACAAACAGTCATGGATTGAAGTGACCAATTTATTAGTATTATTTTTCTATTATTTTGAAGGAATTATTAACCCTGGAAAAGTGATCCACCAATTGACTAACAACCGGGTTCCTATTTACTACTAGGTTCTGCCATCCTCTGAAGTTCAGGAGGACATAGATATGTGCAGCAGTATGGAGTACAGTACTAGAAAAACTGTGTCAACCACTACAGGGGAGGGGTCAGGACAAACATCTACAGTCATGGGCACCACACCTTAGGAAAGATGTATTGGCTCTGGGGGGGGGGCAGGGGGGGGTGCAGCACAGATTCACCAGAATGATACCAGAGTTTAAATGGTGAATTTATGAGATAGGGTTGCATAAACTTGGTCACCATTCCCTTGAGTTTAGAAGGTTGAGGGGTAATCTGATGGAAGTTTTCAAAATAATAAAAGGATTCGATAGGATAGATACAGGGAAACTATTTCCTCTGGTGGGGGAAATCCAGAACAAGGAATCATTATCTTAAAATTAGAGCTAGGCTATTTAGGAGTGAAATCAGAAGGCAGTTTTTCACCCAAAGAGTAGCAGTTTGAAACTCTCAAATGACCGGGTGAGACGGTAGGAGAAACCATTAACAGAAACAAAGTGTTAAATAGGACTTGAACTAGGCAAGTGTGGTCCCACAAAGGTTGATGAGGAAGAGAGCCAGTGGAGGAGGATGTCATGGTCATGGTAGAACGCGGAGGAGAGTCAGGAGGATGAGAAGGCACAGGGAGCCTTGTCACAGAGAGAACGTCATTAGTGACTTTGACAAGCTCCGTCGCTGTGCTGCGGGCAGGGCGGGAACCAGACTGGAGAGGCTTGAGGAGGGAGTGGAGTGATAGGTGTGAGCAAAGCTGACCTGCAACAATGCGTTCCAGGACTTTGGCAAGGAAGGGCAGGTTAGAAATAGGACAGTAGTTTGTGAGATAAATCAACATCCTGTCTCCTGTGGAAATCAAACTTCTATTGTCCCAATCGGAAAGAGAAGGGAGTTTTCTTGATTACCAATCAAAAGATACATTGATCATTAATTTCCCTGCTCTGTGTGGGAGGTTGGCAAATTGATTGCTGTGTTTGTCTTCAAGTATGCAGTCAAGTACTTGATAACAATTACATATGAGATGCTTCAATGTTACATTGAATGATATTATATCAAATACAAAGATTACTGTATTATACTATTATACAAATATAAACAATAGCACTCCCAATATAAAAGCCCTGTGGCACACCACTAACGACTGATTGCTAGCCATATACCTCCTTAGCTCCACTACTCATTGCTTTCTATCAACTAGCTGTTTGCTAATCCAGTGTAATACAATGCTATCTTTCTCTTGGGTACATAACATCACAGTCTCAAGACTGAAACTGAAACTCACTTGAAGAAATCTAATAAATTCCCATTTCTAAATCTCTGCTGTATGCCTCAAATCAATACTTCTAAGGATGATCCCTTAGATTACCTTTTATTAGTATTTTTTATGCAGTTTTCCCACATTCGATGTCAGATATACAGTAGCCCCCCTTTTTCTCTGTTTTCCAAATCCTCTGGCATTTCATTGAGTTTAATGAACTCTGAAAAATATCCGTGACGAGACTTGCAATCAATTGAGACAATTAAATATGTAACCCTGGAATGAATGTTGTCAGAGTCAGAGGCCTCAATCTACTTTGAGATTTTTGCAACCTCACAAATAAATCCTCAGCAACAAACAGCACTTTCTGAATTTATTTTTGGATTATATTCAATAATTTTAACATTGTTTATGTCAAAGGTTTAATATTTGAACCATTAAGAAACATAAATAACCAATTTCTTAACCATTTGACTTTCCAAAGACACCTTTATTTAAAAAAAACAATTATCACTTCTTACACAATAATGACAAGGTTGCTGCAGAATCTCAAATGGCAAATACGATAGCAACATAACTTTACACAGTGCAGGTGAATAGGAACATAGCAATTTAATTTGTAATTATTGGCTCTATTTTAAGAGATGATAAAAATTTGTGTTGAATTAATGCCAGCTTTGTTAACTCTTAGTATGTTGGCTGTGATTTAGATAAAACCAGCTGTAGAAAATAAATTAATTCCATTGCTGTTTGCTTAACATTTGTTAATGTGGACATTCTGCTGTTTTATTTAAAAAAATTGAATAATCATTTGATGAAATGTTTAAATGTGCGCAACATGCTTCCTTCAACTTACTAGAATTTAAAAGTGGCAAATATTTAATTAATAAAATTCAGATTTTGTTGAAATTTATTGGATGCTTTAAATTGATCTAATTGTTGCACATTTAGAGGCACATAGTGGCTGGTGTACCATGGCAATGTGACTGTGACTACAGTACTGACCCAATTAGTTAAAAAATTGAACATTATGCTCTGTGCTTTTCACATAGCTGTTTTGTCAAATGTGTACAAATTGGAGGTTTGAGTGAATAGGTTCAAGGCCCATTGCCATGAAACACATTACTCCTGGAATGAATATATATAATATATATTGTCCTATAATGTCAAAACATCTCAAAGCATTTCACAATTGTTGTTGACACTTGAAGTGACAGAATATTTGTTAGGTAAGCAAGGAAGACAATTTGCACACAGCAAGGTCACATAAACAGCCATGAAAAGAAAAATAACATTATCTGGATAATTTATAATCATGACACCTGGGAAAAATTCCTTCTCGTTTTGAATAATAATAATCCTTGCATTTGATACAGTGCTTTGTCACGTCGTTGAGGTGTCTTAATGAGTGACACAGGATATATTGTAAAGTGGAGTGACTGTAGTTTGTGAGCAAAATAAAGTAAATAAAATAAATCAGTACATGTGAACAGCTAGATTTTTTCCTCTACAGATGGTAATTAGAACAGATTGCCTACCCAAACTAATAGTTGAAGCAGAATCCAATTTAAATAACAATTTAAAGGGAATTAAACAAATATTTTTTTAAAAAGAGAAGCATAATTGGATATGGGTATAGGTCAGGATAGATTCTTCAGAGCCAGCATGGGGGCAATGAGCTGAACAGCCCCCTTCAGTGTGTAAAAATTCCCATTCAGTGTGTAAAAATTCCCAGTTCGGAGGTAAGAAAAAAATGTCGGTTTTCAGGTAGAGATCCCTGAAAAAACTTCAGATAATGTATGTTATAAAAAGGCAAAACCCTCAAATCAAAGCTTCTGTGAGTTGCGGAATAATATATCTATACATACAGCTGATTATCTTCAGTAAAGTGATAAAGGGCTTCACATAACCACGGGCAGATTCAATTGAACCTAATGAATATCAAACATAAGTGATACTGAACAATTTAATGTTGGTTAAGTTGATGCAAGTGTTTCTTAAAATAGGTGACATTATCAACTTTAATCATTTGAGATTAATAATTTTGCCGAATGAAAAAATTGAGGGAGGATGTAGTGGATTTTTTTTACATTTAAAATTGTTATTGCAAACCTCTCATTGTAGCAAATTTTCACCAGACCTGAGTGTACCTTCTTTAGAATTATTAAAAGGCTTCAGAGCCCATTAAGAAGAACCTTGAAAAGAACTGAGAACTATTTTCAAGGTTCTTCCTACTGAGTAAGAAGTGACACCTTTTATTTTGTCCGTGGTTGATGATATTGGCTGGTCAATTACTACAATATATCATCAACTATCGACAAGATAAAGTATATGTTTTGGTTTGTCTTGTTGGACAGAAATGCTATTAACTGAGTAGGTAATAGCCCGCTATAGCAAAGATGTTTCAGAGCAGGAGCCAGTGGCTGGGAGATGATGATGGCCATGTTTTGGGGTTCCTACCTTCAAAAGGACACTGAAGCTCATTGGAAAGAACATAGAGAAGAGCAACAAGGATGATTCCAGGACTTGGGAGTTTTTGTCTGTGAGGCCAGTTTTGAATGGTGGAGTTATGGAGATGGATGAATATTCTGCAGACTTTAATTGCTTACCCTTGGGAATCAAAGAGTATCTATGCAGGATGTTCCCCCAAAAGACAGAATGCGTTGGGGTGAAGTTCTTAGATTTTTGTGTGGTCTGATGAACTTGATGGAGTTAATAGCCTCATCACATTTCATGTTTTTTTTGTTTAGCATCTAAGACAAATAGAGCAGTTGTAATAAATGATGTACATTTCCTGAACACCTTCTGTTTGATCTGGCTGACAATGCCAGCCTTTACTTTGCTTGTACCTCCAATCAGTTATGAGTGGTTGCATCAAATAACTAAGACGTATTTCTATGTTTCTCCTTCAGACACACAAAGATGAAGACAGCTACAAATATTTACATATTCAATCTTGCTGCAGCAGATGCTCTAGCAACAAGCACAATGCCCTTTCAAAGTGCTGACTATCTAATGGGGTCCTGGCCATTCGGAGATTTGTTGTGTAAAATAGTGGTTTCCATTGATTATTACAACATGTTCACCAGTATATTCACGTTGACAATGATGAGTATTGATCGCTATATTGCTGTGTGTCATCCGGTGAAGGCATTGGACTTCCGCACTCCTTTTAATGCAAAAATAATAAACGTGTGTATCTGGCTCCTCTCCTCAGTTATTGGCATACCTGTCATAGTGCTGGGGGCGACTGGAACAAGGGAAGGTGAGTGCTAAAGTTGCAGTGAAAGTATCATCTCCATAGACAAAGTTGAGGTAATCCTGAATACACACTTTTCCTTATTGAAGGAGTGCCACTGAAATGAGTTTTAAAATAACCGTTGACATCTGAATAATTGTAGAGCCCAAGCCCTGCTGAACAGTAATGGGCCCTGATATCTTAAGATTCCTGCTTAGCAAACAACAACAGAATATTTCACTGAAATCTTTGGAGCTAACCAAGGGCAAAGCTTTAGCAAATGCTGAGAAAGTATAAGGTTTTGACAATTTTTGCACTTATTTCTACTGTTATACTGTGCAACTATTCCCTTTTTTAAATGTTTTGACAACTTTTATTTTGTCATCTCTCTTTGCACCCAGTTTGTATTTTAAGCAAATTGAACCATGCAGCATAATGTCTGGAGCAAATTAAAGCTGACAGAAACAGCTTTGATGTTTCTTTTTAATTTCCACGTATAAAGGACAATCCCTCAAATAAAACTGGTCATTCACATCATGACTGTTTGTTGGACACACCTGTGTATAAATTGGCTACCATGTTCGCCTAACAAAACACAAAATCACTATAATTTACAGTAAATCCTGAGAAGCGCTTTGAGATGTCCACCTGACATGAAAGGTTCTATATCAAATGCAAGGGTTATGATTATTATTATAAATAGGTACTAATGCATAATAAATAATAATCCGTGCATCTGATATAGCGCTTATTACAACTTTGAAATGTTTCAAAGCGCTTCACAAAATATACTGTAAAGTGAATTGACTGAATATGTATGGGTGAAGGTTAATGTATTAGATTCAGCATTGGGAGCTATGCTCAAATTATAAAATATATTTGGACATTAAGTTCCCTGATTGTGACCTGATCAAGGGAAAGAACTTACTTGGGAGGAATCTCAACTTTCCCTCCCTGAAGACCCTCGTGTGAAATTGCCCACAGAATTCTTCTTGAAGAAAGTGAATGGTGTAAATACAAGGATGAAAATGGAGAGTTACGATTTAAGTTACTTCATGAATTAAAACGTTGGGTTATGATAATGTAGATTTGAAAATGTCTTCTAAATTAAGAAAAAAATGCTCAAAATGGTGTGGATATTTCAATCATTTCAATCACATTAATAATGATGATGATAATAATAATCATTTCATTTGATATCATACCATTGAAACATCTCAAAGTGCTTGCAAGAATTTACTGTAAAGAGTAGTCTATTTGTAATGCCTAAAAATACAGTTAATTGTAATGCCTACAAATACAGCAGTAAATTGTAGTGCCTACAAATACAGTGCCTACAAACACAGCTGCCTCTTTGTGCAAAACAATGTCCCACAAACAGCCAGTGAAGTGATTGACCAATTTTATCAAGGGGATTGTTGCCCAGGATTTGAGGAGAAACTCATTTCACTTTTCAAATATTGCCATGGGATCTTTAACATCCAACTGAAGTGGCGGGTAGTACTGTGTTTAAAATCTCATCTGAAGGACGGCACCTTGGACAATGCAGTGTTTCCCCAGCACTGTTCTATATTGTCATCTTAGGTTGTGAGTTCAAAGTCCTGACATGGGGCTTGAACCCACAACCTTCAGTCAGAGGTGAGAATGCTACAAAGTAAGCCAGGTTGATATTATTTTGTGTTTAGTAGATGCTGAGATGTTGCCTTTGAAATATTTCCATAAATAAACTGTACTAACCAGTGCAGCACCATAGGTTCAGATCCTAAGATATAGGATAAATAAACCTTGAAATCCAATCTCCATTTGTTTGCAACAGACAATTTGATTTACAAACTACAAAACATACAGTACAACCCAGACCCACCTTGGTGGTAGGTCTCGCAGAAGTGAGAATTCAGAAAGTCTCACTTCCCACATTGACATTTATACATTTTTTTATTATTAATCGTTGTTTATTTTTGAAAATAAGCAGAATTTGTCATCAGGTATTTGATGAAACTAAAATAACTATAGTTTCTTAACATTATTCCTTTCTACAATTTTTGTCAAATCGAAGGGCTGTCTTGTGTTAATCAATTAGATATTTGTTTATATGGGCTACTTTCTTTGGTGATATTTAATTTTCACTTTATTTGTATGATTGCATAGGTTTAATGCAGCTGGGGTTTAAAAATTCTCATATTCTTAAGCTCAGACCATTGTATTAGAATTTGCGATTGTGCTGAATTTTGGAGAACAGTATTAAAATGTATTTTCATTTGGAATCTGATTTTATAGTCAGCCATATGTCTGACACGTGCAGATATCATGCTTAGGAGTATCCAAATCACACTGAGAGTTTATTGAGTGTAAGCTATGTCTGGAATTAAAACACCCTGCTTTAACTAATTACTGAGAATATTAGCCAAGGCTTGGGTACCTCAGAGAGTACAATAGGGTACTGATGGAGTTTAACCAGATAAAAACTGCACAGCTTGTCAGGAATTTACCACAGTTATTTTTCAATGTTGCAGAAAATATTTAACACAGTTCAGCTGCATTAAAGTCTGTCTGTAAGTTGTTAATACCTAAAACTAATCTTGGCNTTTTTTCTGTTATTGAACAGGTAATGTTGAGTGTGGATTGCAGTTCCCACATTCCTACTGGTACTGGGACACTCTGCTGAGAATCTGTGTGTTTGTGTTTGCCTTTGTTATACCAGTGATCATCATCACAGTGTGCTACACCCTGATGATTTTACGCTTGAAGAGTGTCAGACTGCTGTCTGGCTCCAGGGAGAAAGATAGAAACCTGCGGCGCATTACACGAATGGTGCTTATTGTGGTAGCGGTTTTCATTATCTGTTGGACTCCCATACATATCTTTGTACTAGTCAAGGCTTTGGGGAATCTCCCAGAGACCACTGCGGTATCCGCCTGCTACTACTTCTCAGTAGCTCTTGGATACACCAACAGCAGCCTTAACCCTATCCTCTATGCTTTCCTGGATGAAAACTTCAAAAGATGCTTCAAAGATTTTTGCTGTTCATCTGGGTTGAGGCAGGAGATGCAGACTGGCAGCAGAGTAAGGAATACCATGCAGAATGTTGCTTATTCTAGCAATAATGCAGATAACACAAACAGGCCGGTATGACTAGCAGTAGAGATGTCATCTTTCTCTCCACAAGCGAAAGATGACTTCCGAGATGAAGGACTAACTCAGATCACTACTGCGATTTAATCCTTACTCTGCTGAAAGAGAAACTGAGTGTGTTCAATTTATCTAGCATTGTAACAAATGCTGTGAGTTGGGCAGCCATAGTTTACAGTCATCAGTAATAAGCTCACTGATCTGTAACTGATGAAGCACATGTTTATTTTAAAATTGTTGTCAGCAGCAAAAAGCAGATGGCTGATGATTCAGACTTTAAGAAGCATCTAGACTAAAATTTTAGCAATTTACCGAATCTAATTTGCATTATTGTATTTCCTAAATGAGTTGTAAATAAGGAATACCATTCGAATTCCTATTGACCAGCAGTAACTCTACTCTGGAAGTAGATTGTTGTTGTTGTTCTAGGTTGCATCCATGTGTCTGCTTTCAAAACCCTTCTGAAAACCTAACCCTGTCTGTCCTTTGACATCTCCCTCCTATGGTCTGCCCATCTCCCACAATGCTCAGGCTCCCACGCCATCTCTGTAAAGCACTTTGAGACTTTAACTGCGAAAGGTGCTCTGTAAAGTAAATGTTAAAGTATATAGGGTAGATACAAAGCTTGCAAGTACATGTTGCATTGGTGAAAAATTCCCACCATTCAGGTTCCAGGAACAAGTTCCCATTCGCCTAACTAGAATTCCTTATTCAGAAATGCTGTTAAGAAATACTGCAAATTAGATTCCTAGATATATTTTCAGCAAATTAGATTTCTAGATGTATTGTCACAATTGAGGCTTGGCCACAGTTGGTTGCCAAGAGTCTATATTCCAATCTCAGTGGGAAATGAGGATTATTGAATTGATTTGCCAAGCGATCTCTTTGGCAAGAGACTCAGACAGATTACTGCTGCATGTACATCTGGCATATTTGCTTCTATGGTACAATGTCTTAAAAATATTTTTATTGTATGTTAGTTAGCTAGAAATTTTAGATGTGTCATATTGTGAAACAAATAGTAATTTTGTACTGGATAATTTACTCTTGTCAGAACTGAAAAAAACTTCTACAGTCAGTCATGCATACACACACAATGAGCCACTGTTTTAAAATGTCTTCATTTATGAAATGTATATCAGTGGTGTCAAAATATAAAACATACTCTGCAAATTCAATGTGCAAATTCAACCTGTGTAACAAATATATACAAAGAGTATTTGAGTAAACAAATACAGCACAATTTCAATATAAACTACACGCAACAAGTAAACTGGCAAAGAATAGCATTTGAAGACTATAGACTATAATATAACTCACTTACTGAAAATCATGTATTGCTTCCTGAACCTTTCTTGGTCACTAAGACTGATAAATATCTGATGATTAATGTACAGCTCTCGTAAGTGAAGGTATCAGATTACAGTCATCTGAATCTATGAGAATGAAATGAACGTGAACTGAGGTATGAAAGAAATGGACGATTGAGCTTGTCGTGTAAAAATATGTCGTGGATGAGAGCTTGTTGTTTAAAAATATGTTTTTGTGTTTTTTTGGCAAAAACAACTGAAATTGCAACTGCTCGCAGCCCTCTTAAATGTTCGTGAGAAATTAGGTTTTGTTATCATTAACATAAACACAACCACCAGTGCAGCTGTGATAATGAATAGTTCAGACTTATAAGGAGCCATTTGAGAGAGGTATAAAGCTTGAAAAATCTGCAAAGGGCGATGCAGGAACTGAATCACAAGCAAAAGTAGCATATTTGTGAAATATTTTCTTGGGGACAAGAAAGACCCTGAAAGATCCATTGTGTATGGTAATGGAGCACTGCCTTGATACTCTAGTTTTGGTAGGGGAGGTTACCCCCTTACCCCTTACCCTCACGTGGAAAAGAAATACCAAGAATGGAATTAAATAACAAATGCTACGATCCCTCTCTGCCACTCTTGAAGGACTTGGCAGGAGGTGCAGAAGCAACTGTACATCTTCAAAGAAAAGCATCAAAGCTCGGCGCTAATAGTGCATCTATATATATACAAATATATATATATACATATAGTAGGGAAAGCTGAAGCCATGCTTGATGTGTGTTAAAAACTGAACTGATGGAAATGTCAACAAAAATGCAGAAAGCAAAAGAATAATTGTGAACACTTCTTGGGATTTTGCAAATGCCCAGTGAACCTTCTGTGAGGAGAGAGTGAATTCTCTATTGGAAGCATTTTGGATTAGGCAAACCATTATATCGATCACCAGAGCTCTCAAGAATTATTCTGTTGTTCAAAGGCAGAATTGGTTCACACCAAGAGAACACAGAGATAATGACTTTACTCACCCACCAAATAAGGAGGCAAGAATGGATTTCACTGGAGGTGTAGTTATTGAGCTTTTGATCTAGTGTTAGGTACACACAATATTATTTGTCTGCTTTGTTTAAAATCAAATCTGAGTACAATGGCTGAGCACAAACACTTTGAGGATCCCAACATTTTTGGGGAAGAGCTGTTTTTGGGGAATCCACTGCTCAGCAATTTACCATGTTCTGCTATTCCACCATAGTTACGTTCAATGCTATTTAATTTTTTCCATTTATTTTTAAGTCAGCAGGTATCTAACCTTTGCGGAAATCCATCTTTTCCAATGTTTTGCCCTAACTTAACTTTAAGACAGTGATAACTTAAAGTTAAGACCATGAGAGAATATGGGGCCTCTGAACCCTTAGTTATCCCTTGTAAAAGATTCTAGTGACATAAACCTTGAGAGCAGTAAGAATCAATCTTCCCTGTTACGGTTGTGGAGTACCAATGGTGGATTGGGCCTATGGATCTTCATACACTATGTGGTGCACCTTATTCACAGCCTTCCATGCACTGTTTCTGTCACACCAGGTGACTCATTCTGTTACAATAGACCCAGTGCCTGGGTTGTACCTTAATACCTTCTGAGAATCACACAACTGTTACACTTTAGGCAGCCCTCTTCAGCTTCTCAATTCCAATATACCTGCTAATGGCCACTACATCCATTAGTAAAAGATATCTTGATAAAAGATGTCCTGGGTACATCTGGGTAAAGGCATCTGTATACGATTCCCATCACCACTATGGCATATTTCAAAAGCTTCCTCTTTGTTTTCTCTAGCTCCAAAAATGACCTGGAATTAAATACTCTTACTCACTTTACAACATGCCTCTTCTGCTGTGGAACTCTCCCAAGAATTACTCCTCAACGTTTTTTTGAGCATTTAACAAGTTAATCAGACTTTTTTCTCCCTAAAAGTTGTGGTTCCTGTTTGTGAGGGATGGGTAAAGTTTTCAAGCGCCAGTTTGGGGATGTCAGCCACTCGTGGGATTTTCCATTATACTCACTCATTGCAAAGAAACCTGCGTGTGACAGTGAACATGATTCTTACACATGTAAGAGTAACATTATATGTGGACAATATTCGTTTTTGTGAAGTTTCAATATTACACCATTGTTGATGCAAATCTGCATTATTGCTAAAATGGGTGAACACAGGAATGTTGGACGCATGATGTTTGTTTTGCTTGAAGATTGATTTTAGTTTTAACCAGCTCAGAACATATTGTACATTAAAATTATAGACAATTCAGCACAGAAGGAAGTCATTTTCGCACATCATATCTGTACTGAGTAAGCTCCCATGTTGGATCTGTCTATTTCATTCCCATTTCTCCACTCTTTCCCCAATATATTTGATATCTTCATTCTTCAAGTATTTATCTAATTCTCTTCTAAATGTGGTTTAAGTGACTCAGATATGATCGTGCACTAAGACATGAGTGTTTTGAATGTTTTATGATTGGAGTTGATATACTGTAAAATATTTATATATTCAAATGTTTCTTCAAGTGTTCATAAAACATGCAGTTAGCTTGTGTAATATACAATGTGATGCTAATTATATTTAAAAGTAGCAGCATGTGTGTCGCTTCATGATATCAATTGTTGCTTGCAATCGTGAACATGTTTGTTTCAGTCATTTACATCTCTTTAGGGATTATTCAGCCACTTCAGCTCCATGAGGTGAATTTGTTGATGTGGACTGAGCAACATTTTGCTACTTTCAGCTAAATTAGCAAATTGTTTGCTACCCACCAATGTGATGCAATTTTAAATGATAAATAACATTATGTAAAAAAGTAAACTAATCTAGAAGTTTTAAAATGGCAAAATCATCCTTTTTTTATAGCTGCACAAGGGCAAATTGACTAAAATCCTAAATTCCTAAACAATGTCTAGCCTACATCAATGAAATTGCTGCAGGGAATACACGGACTGCAAACTGTTTGTTACTCTGGTTGCAAACTGTTTGTTACTTTGGTGTCGGAAAAGAGATGTTCATCTAAAAGCAAGTCATAAAGTACAAGAAATTATTTGCAGCTTTTTGAAGTACATAATTTAAGTGTTGTGCTGATTTGTAATATCTTTGTGTGAAATCTTTGTTAAATAAAGATACCACTTGAGAACAAGTTTGAGTGTTTCCTATGGAATGGATCATTTTGAGGTTTGAATCCACCTTGAGAGGTAAGCAGCTGCTCAAGCTCAACACCTCCCAACTAGTGGAACCATCACTCAATGGGAAGGGATACCTGTTTAAGCTGTGGGCAGGAAGATGGTGGGAATGCTCTCACACATTTCATGCTGACTGTCCTGCTCACCAGGAAGCCCACAGGATAAATCCCATCCACCTAATGAGGGCTCAAACCTATACTTATCAAATGTAAAATGACAAGCTAGTGACTATACTCCTTAGGGGGAGTTAAGCAGGGTTTCCTTGTTGCTTAAATAGCTCCAAGGTGCTTGGCAACATTATGTTGGAATCAAGGCAACCCTCTCTGGTAGTCTTGGTAGTTCATTTCCTAAGCCAGGTGGTTCCAAGGTACTTCAGGGCATTGCTGGTAGCACATACAGCCTAGTTTATAGGTTTATAGGACTTCGAGGGGCAGACTGGTCACTGGGGGCAAGGATTCTTCCCA